TATCGTTATGAGAGCGTAACGTACTGAAGAAATGAACGTTTTTCCAGGCCGGCTGCCCAAGTCGTCTAATATCGAAGAGTTTAAGGAGAATTTGCTGAAGGGAGTGGACATGGTCACTGATGACAAGCGTTGGTCAACGAACAGCTACGGGATGCCGGGCAAGTCAGCCAGGATTAACAACATCGACCGCTTTGACACTTCTTTTTTCGGGGTACACCCCAAGCAAGCACACGTAATGGACCCACAGCTTCGCATATTGTTAGAAGTCGTATACGAGGCGATAGTTGACGCTGGCGTCAATCCTTCCACCATAAGAGGATCGCGTACAGGAGTGTTCATGGGTGTCACTTACACAGAAACGGAGGATTTATTGATTAGAAATGCAGATATCGCCAACGGTTCGTATTATGAAAAAACAATGCCGATTGTCTTCTCAATCAATTATTTTAAAGTCTGTCTACTTATAACAATAATAGGGCAAGATGGTGCAGACGTAGCGTTTTGCAATTGATTGGTGTACACATTTTGCTGTTTATCAAATATATCTGCTACACCGCAAAAGAAATCACACGATATCTGCTGACAAGAAAAACTTGCATCTGCTTGCAGGATACGTAATGCTCGGGGGTGCGAAATCAATGTTCGCTAACAGAATCTCCTTCTCCTTCGATTTTAATGGGCCCAGCTACACGGTGGACACGGGTTGCTCCTCGTCCTTGTACTGCATGCATCAGGCAGTCGCCGCAATGCGCAACGGCGAGTGCGATGCTGCGATCGTCGGTGGAACGAATCTTATATTGACACTCGAGAGATCGCTTCAATGTTATAGCCTGAATATGCTCTCCCAGGATGGCAAGTGCAAAGTGTTCGATGCATCGGGTGACGGTTACGTGAGGGCCGAGGCGGTAGTGGCAATATACCTGCAAAAAGCGACGGATGCGCGCAGGATGTATGCCACAGTGGTTCACACGAAGACAAACACCGATGGCTACAAATCTGAAGGTGTCACGTATCCCAATCGTGACATGCAGAATCGATTGATGCGCGAGATTTACAGCGAGGCAGGAATTAATCCTTTAGACGTCAGCTACATAGAAGCCCATGGTACCGGCACCAAAGTAGGCGATCCAGAGGAAGTCAATTCTATCGACGCACTATTCTGTAAAGATAGAAAGACTCCTTTGCTGATCGGATCGGTCAAGTCCAACATGGGGCATCCGGAACCGGCAAGTGGATTGTGCTCGATAGCTAAAGTGCTGATCGCAATGGAAACGGGCGTGATACCCGCGAATTTGCACTTCAACACTCCGAATCCAAACATTCGTGGCTTAAACGAGGGACGTATTCAAGTAGTCGACAAGGCCACATCGTGGAACGGTGGTCTCGTGGGCATCAACTCGTTCGGATTCGGCGGCGCAAATGCACACATCCTTCTGCGCAGCAATTCAAAACCAAAATTACCACCGCTATTAAGCGTCGCTGAACTCTTGCCCAAATTGGTCGCGGTTTCAGGTCGAACGGAAGAAGCTGCGCATACCTTACTGGACAAAGCGAAAGAGCACCG